AAAAAAAAAAAAAAAAAAAAAAAAAAAAAAAAAAAAAAAAAAAAAAAAAAAAAAAAAAAAAAAAAAAAATTAAAATTGAGGAACATATTTATTACATTCAATATCGTTTCACGTGAATAGAATTTCCTTAACTTTCTCCCTGCGTCGTATCCCTTTCGGTATAGAAATTTTTAAGATATTTTTCGGCTTCTTTATATTCGTCTTTTACTTTCTCTAATAATTTAGATATCTTTATTAAAGCCTCGTCTTCTGTGATATCGCTAGACCCTGATTCATCTCGTTTATTACCAAAATGTTGCATCTTCTCACAAGAGACTTTTACTTTCGTTAAGCCTATTGCTGCAGAACTCCCTTTTAAGAAGTGCCCCAGTTTAGATAATTCATTAAGATTTTTTTCTTCCCTAACAATTATTAATTATAATAATTATTAAAAGGTGTTTTGATGTCTTTTTAATTTCTTCGATTTTATTTATAATATTAACGAGATTTTCCAATACAATACAATACATAATGTTCTCTCGTATATTATTATTATTTTTATATAACTTGATGAAATAATAATAATTTAAATATATATATATAATATATATATATATATATATATATATATTTTCTCTTATTTCTCTCGTAAAAATATATTGAAAGTAATGTAGTGAGATTACTTACAAAGCCGTGTCCATATCTCCAAATGTGGACTCAGCTTGGTCGAAATAATTCCAAACTATAGATTTTGAAAAATCATGATCTTCGTCGTCATCCATTTCTAACAATTGATCGAAAGTTTCGTGATCAATAAGATCTGTGGACTGTGTTGGATCTATTGGTTCTTCATCCTTTTTATATATGAGAACATTTAAAAAAGGTCGCACTTATTTAACATTAATAGATTGAGATAAAGACTTATAACAAATGCGAAAAACTTGAAAAAATATAGAAATGTACATATGGCACGGTAGTTGAAAGTGTACTCAACGTTGAGGACATTATAATTATTCAGATAATATAGATCTGTAGCTAGTTTTTTTTTTTTGAAGTGAGGTCGGGACAACCTTCAAACCAACATATGCAACTAAAGGCGCAATGACATCATGGACAATAACTAATATTTATTTATATTATTAATGACATAATAAGCAACTAATGCATAAAACGAGTTTTTACAGGTTTTTTATGTCAAAAAAATTCCTACACATTTCTGAATTTTTCTATAGGTTCATTTACAAAAAAAAAAAATAGAAAAAAGGTCAATATTTGGAAAGAAAAAGCCCAATCCCCCTTAAATTTTTTTTTGAATTAACATATATAATATTATGAGATTTGTGTTACAAGGGTGCGTGGAGGATTGTACAATGTAAACAGTTTCCTTTTATAAAAAAATAATTCCTTTTATGGTTAGTGGTGTTACTCGCTTTCCAAGCTTCGAATTCCAGATTGCACGGCGCGATAGTTAACCAAATAAAAGAAAATAAATTTTGATATCTGTAATATCTTTTTTTTTTTTTTGAATAGCTTTTATTTTGAGCTGGTTTAACCTTTTTTTTTTAAGCATAAAGTTCCAGATATTTTGAATAATAATTAATCAAAAAAAAATGATGTAATGAAGATATTAATATATTGTAAGATGGAAAAAGCAATATTATGATTTTTAATGAAATCGTTTGAGAATTTTTTTACAATTTTTTTTTTGTCGATATATGAATTCAGATAAAATAATATTAAAAATTTCGGAAATTCTTTGTTATATTCATAAGTTGTATTGGCAAGTTTTTTTTTTACCATCAATTTAAAATTTTTTATTTGTTTTGTAAATAAACTATTCATAAAAAATATTTTTAACCATGAATAAACTTAATTTTAATTTCTTTTCATTTGGAATTGTATCTTGAGTTGGAGCTGAAAAAACATGATCTTTAATTGCATTAAATAATGTGAATATTTTATATTTGTCTTTTAATTTCGAAATGTGTAATAACCAATTAGCAATTATTTTCATCATTTTTTGTAATCTGTTTGAATGTTTTTTTCCTTTACCACGTCGCGCATGACCACCATTCTCCTGATAGCATTCAAGACATATGTATCTAGGTTCTTATAATTCATATTATAATTGATAACACAGAGATGGATACTTTTTTAAAGCTTTACATGAAAAAAAAAGTTGACAATTACAAGGAACAAAAAGATTTGCGTTCATTAGAGACCCTACGAATAATTTATTCACCATTTTCCATAACTATAAATTGTAAAATAATGTTTACAATTTATATAACGATGTCTTTGAATGATAGAAGCTTCGGGACTCTTTTTTTTTTGTTTATCTTTATTGTTATGCAATTGATTTCCTTACACCTAATTGTAAATAATCTTCATTGACATTATTGCTGTATCTCTAGTTATCTGTCAACTTCCAAATTGAACCACATGCTTGAATTTTCTAATCAACGATATTATACATGTTTCTATTCATTCTGCATAATCTCGTTTTCATCATTCTATAATTCTCATTATTATCTGTTTCATTCGATACTTAAATAATTCTTTCATTATATTTGAATTATAGTATTGTCGAAGTTTTCTTCAGAATAAGTTTCGTCTAAATTAATTTTAAATAAATAATTCTTTTATTTAATTAATAAATAAATTAAAATATATTACATAAAAATGAAGTATTTGATTCTTGAACTCATTGAAAAAAAAAACCACTCGGGTCAAAAGAAGCAAAATTGATCGTTACCTTTGTTCTAATATTTGCGCGCCTAACACTGATTTAGTAAGAAAGGTATGGTTATTTTATCTTCTGGTTATATTAAACTATCAAATAAACCCTCCTTGAAAAAATTACAATTTTTTTTTTTTTACTTGGGGTATAAAGATACAGTAAGCACATTCGGAACTTCGATAAATTAGGTTTAGCGAACGTAAATCAATGAAAAATCATTAATCAAGCTAACATATGAATACGTTACTATGTCTATAACACGTTACGTCATTAAGCCTGCACCTTGGTTATTACATTGATCTACTCTCTATTCTAATTTTGAAAATAATTCAAGAAATTTTCATATGATTTTAATGAAGCTACTGGATGGGTTGTAATACATCAATAAGATTTGCATCGTACAAAGTGTGGATAGGAATCGATTATTTGTTAAAATTTACAATTATATTTGATGATGAATTTTTATTTGAATTTTATACATTAATCTTTAATTTATTAATTGATCAACTTTTTATCTTTAACACATTTTATTCTATTGAAATTATATAATTAATTCTTAAGAAAAAAGAAAGAAATGGTGATTGAAAATTTAATTGGAATTTATCTCTTGAGAATTAATTATTACATCAGAACTTTATTGGGACCATCTCTAATTTGTGAAATTACATCATTGAAATTTACAGGTGCATTATTTTGTAATGTTGGTCTTGAAATAGAATTATTTAATTTTCTTTTTTTGGGGGGATTCAGAATTCATTCTTGCATATTTCTCTTCAATAATGTCAAGTTGGCTATCTAAATCTTTGTGGAATTTTGTTTTTCCTTTATTTAGAAAATGTAGGAATTGAGATTTACTAATATTACCTGCATAATTCCATTCAATGTCTGAGACAATTATATGGGGCAATTTCTTTTGTGAACTGATCTTGAACCTTCCAATTACAGATAAAACAGTCTTTTTGAGGTTATCTTAGAAAATTATACTGACCATTCAGATTTGTATGAGATGATAATATTAGATTCAATATTTTTTTTACCAGTCACTCTGTTATAGAGTCTTTTGAATACTAGAAAACTTTGTCTTCCAACTTCATAATTAGATTTATACAGCAGAAGCAAAATAAATTAAAAGGGAAAAAATATAAGGAAGATCTTCTTGTGTATTTGTAGAATCATCTGAAGAGTAAGAAATTATAATGGTCTGAATTAAGGTAATCTTAGATATGTTAAAAGCATAAGGATAATCTGTAATTCTCTTAGATTTCATGTTTTAAGTAATGAGATTTGATATTTCATATTTAACATTTTCATCATAAGCATATCTTCCAATTATAAATATAATAGCATCTTTCTCAAAATCCATAATTAATGTTTTAGAAGTACCAATGAAGCCTTTATAGATAATTTCTCTTCATCACCTTTCACCTGATATAAGGTACTTCCAAAAATATACTTTTCATTTCCTGTGATAGTTTTGATAAAGAAAAATGATATGAATACAGATGACATCATTTACAAATTTTTATTATTGAAGATTTTAATTATCTTTTCATTTATATAATTGAAAAGTTATTCTTGTTAGCAATTTAAAAGTAAAAATGATGTATCAGAATTTCTTTTTGGTATGGCATATCCAGTGATAAATAATTTTCTAATCATGATTATCAAATTTTTTTTCTAGATATAATTTTTTTATTGTTTTAATTCACGAGAAAGCTATCACTTTTTTTTTATCTATCAATCCATTGTGATTCTGGTTTTTTTTAGTTCTACTCAAGTGAATAATTTCTTGGAAACAAAACTGTTATAATTTTCTAATCATGATTTATCAAATTTTTTTTTCCTAGGTGGAATTTTTAATCTGTAGTGTCACATGCCCAATGTAACAATTTTCTGAAGGATAGAGAATCTTCTCTAACAAAAACTAACAAAAGGTTATGTAATTGTCATACTATTTCTGATAATCCTACTTGTTCAATTATATCAAATTACAGAGTTAAAGAAAAGGGTTAACTTAGGAGTAAATTCTTTATTGTGACAGGATTTTAACAATACCAAGTTAGTTTGTGACTTAGCAAAGTATATGTGTAAAAGATTTGAAGTTGATAAATTATATGAAGACTTTATTTTAATATTAACTTTATTAAAATAAATACAAGAAATATAAGAAATGGATAAGATATATAATAATAAATAATAAAAGATAAGTATATAAGAATGATAAAAGAAATAATATTTATTAAAAGAATAAATCAGAGAACTATTTAAATTATACATTTTTTCAAAATTGATTTTGAATTTTTGAAATATTTCAACTTTTTAAGATTTATGTAGAATCTATTTTATATATGGAAGTAAAAAAAGTATCCAGTTATATTGTAAAATATTAATTTAGTTTATTTTAATTATATTATTTATTAATATATTTATTATTTATTTATAATTTATGTAAATTAAAGATCATGTAACAGGTGACTTACCAGGTTAACTATCAGGTGAATTACCTAGATAAATTACCTATTGCACATAACAGATGAATTACCAGGTTAATTATCTTTTGCTAAAATTGATAAATCATTAATTTGGTAGATTGTAACATGTAGCAAATTAAAGGAATATAAATATAAGTCTTCCTTGACTTTGGAAAAATAGTTCAGAAGTTCTATAGTTTTAAAGAGTTTAAGAGATTAGAACAAAGTTGTTTCTTTTAGTTAATATATAATTTACTCCTTTAATATTTACTTTAATTTTAGAATTTCTATTTTTATATTATATTTTATTTTTATATTTATTATTATATTTATTAATAAAGTTATATCATATTAAATTTTATGAATTAAAAAAACTTTTTCTCATTTATCAATTTTTGAGCAAAAAACCATAGTAAATTTTAAATGAAATAGTTTTAGTTTTATTTTAACTTGAATAATAATCAACCATATTATATTTAATATGGGTGATAAACTATTTAAAAGATCCAGGAGAACTGGTGTGAACTACACCAGGACTCCTGATATTACTTTGTTATTAAATATAAATAAATTCAAATTTAATCCTATTGACAAGAAAGTAAAATTTTTAAATAAAAAACATAATGCAAAAAATACAATGGTAAACATAGAACAAACAGAAAAAATATTAAAAAGTAAACCATTTCCAAAGTTATAATTTTATTAAAAGATAATAGTAATGATACGAACAAAAATCAAATTATTGAAGAAATAACAAATGTGGAAGAAAATGAAGAAAATGAAAAATTAAACAAAAATCAAAGAAATAATAACATAATTAACTGGACAAAAGTAGAAAAGAATAAAAATAAAGAAAAAGACAAAAAAAAAGTATTGTTTAATGAATTTAATACAAATGAACAGGAAGAAATAGAATCAATCACCTCTTTCAAAATAGAGAATGATTATCAAACTGGTTGGTGCAATGTTCTAGGTGCAAAAAAATATAAACTCTGGATCTAGCTAAAAGAATTTTTAAAAAAAACTTAAACAAAAAGTTGAAAAATATTAGTTTGACCTTGAAAAAATAATCTGTAGTAATCAAAGTACAAACAAAAACGTTTAACAATAATAAAATAATTGTAACCTATTATGACAATAAATAAGAAATGAAAAAAAAAACATGTGATGTAGGTGGATATGCAAATAAGTCAACTTATATACATAGGACTAAAATTTTAAACACAATCTAGATAAAGAAATGTAACACAGTATTAAACTGTAGAACATATCTATAGGATTTAGGAATAAAGATATTAAATAAGAGTTAGAATTAAAGTTTGGTGAAATTACAAGAGTTTCTTTAAGAGTAAATAATATATGGCAGTCAGCTGTTATCATCTTCAAAGAAAAAAGCAGTGCACAAAAATTACTTCTAACTGGAGCATTATTATTGAAGAAGATTCTCTTAGAGTAATACAACTAGATCAAACAATTGATAATCTAAAATTACGTAGTAAATATATAGCAAGGGTAATTAGTTTGCCCAATGGTATTACAGCAAGAGAATTATGACCACACATCGAAAAGTTAAAAGTAAAAATTTGTTATTTTTCAAGAACAAGAAACTACAGGAAAAAAGGTGAAACTATTATCTCTTTTCAAGATGAAGAAGCTTGTAAGAATACTTGCAAAGCAGTATGGGAAGGTAGAGATTATATTTGCACGTAAAATTATTTTGGGGTCCCAAAATTACAATTTCGGAGAAAAAAGTCAAAATAGTTTTTCATAGAAGACAAAATTATTTTACTTAAAACCCAAAATTTTTTGACTACTCAGATTTATTCTTTGATTAAAGATACATATAACTAGATACTTTTTTTACTTCCATATATAGAATAGATTTTGCATAAATCTCAAAAAGTCGAAATACCTCAAAAATCCAAAATCAATTTTGGGAACATGTATAGTAGAGATCTTAATATTAGAATTATAAATATTCAAACAAAAACATGTCATTGTTATTATGAAACAGATCACTTTGTTGCTAATTGTCCTCATAGATCTCAAGATCATGAATGTCAAAATAAAGTAGCAGAGAGAATAGAAAAGTTTAATGCAATATACAAATGATATAACTCAAGGTATTTTAAAAATATTAATAAACTTGTTAAAGGACAAATGTATACAGATGCAATTAAAAAAATACAAGAAAGATAAACTCAGATATCACAAGTAATCAAAGATTAGAAAGAATCGAACAAGTTCTAAATAAACTTTGTGAATGTTTAGAAATTTTAGAACATCATGTGATGAATACAACAGAAGAACAGATTTAGGATTGGTCCTTAGAACAGGAGGAAAACAAAAACATGAAAGATGAAGACGTTATCAGAAATAACAATAATATTAATAATAATGACAAATTAAAATCAAGTCAAAAATACGAAATGAATAACAAGTTAGATACAATCATTCCTACAATGTAACAAATGATAAACAGAATTAAAACAATTGAAATGAAAGTAGGATTGACATCAACTTTCTCCAGATTAAAAATTTCTGAAAGCAATATTGGTGTATATAACCAATAATATTTTTTAACTTTAAATTTTTAATAAACCATTATAATGGAATCAAACAATAATAATAATAATAATATCAATAATAAAAAAGATAATAAACAATATAAAAGAACAAATTATCCTTATAATAGTTTAAAGGAAGATAACGATAATAATAACATTAATAATCAGAACAATTATATAGATAATAAAATAATAAGTATAGCCACACATAATGTAAGGGGGTTTGGTGATTACACTAAATGTGAACTTTTCTATAATTATATTAAAAATAGTAAAATAGATATCATGGGTATTACAAAAACAAATTGTAAAGAAAATAATGAAAAGTAATTTATAAATGAAAGAAAAAAGTATAGAATATATTGGTCTTCTAATGGTATAGGTACAGGAGTAACAATAATAATCTTAAAAGATATAAATAAATATATATATAATATCCAAAAATTCAAAGAGAGAGCAATATGTATGGATATGACACTATCAAAGAAAACTACAATACGGATAATACAAATATATCTATTAAGTAAAAAATGTGAAAATGAAGAAGTAATGGAAAAAATTAAAAGTTGAATTATACAAGTGCAATTAAAAAACTACAAGTTAATTGTAATGGGAGACTTTAATGTAATCCTCTCACCAAGTATAGACAGAAATAACAATAGTTAATTACAGATACCAGAAAGTGAAATCTTCTCATTTCTAATCAGTAGAGAACTCATCGATTGTTATAGAACAATATATCCTGAATTCAGTAGTTTTACATAACAAATACTGGTCAAAATTGATAAAACATATACATATCGAGTATCCAATATGTACATGGTACGTTGTTACTATGGGTTTTCTCCACTTTCATAATTTCTTATTATTTTATTTTATTTTATTTTATTCTTATTTGTATTTTATTAGTATAGCTATTTAGTATATTTTAGTATATTTAGTATATTTATTTATTAGTATTTATTTATTTAGTAGCATAATACGAATTATGTAAATCAATAATGTAGATCATAGTGGCCCAGTTACTGGCCAATTTACTGACCAATTTAGTGGCCAACTGATTGACACAATTATTGATCAACTTATTGGCCAAATTCAATATTATAAAAAAGGTGAGTTTTCTCTCCACTCCAAGACAGATTCAGATAGTTTTCGGATAAGATTCAAATAATTCTAAATAGTGAAATTTAGAAAGTAATCTCAACTGTAATATTTTTTTATATTCCTAAAGTAATTGGATTATTAATTTTCTTCGTAATAAACTTATATTTTTTATATTAAAACTTTGTTTCCTTATTAATTTATATTCTTCGATATAAATTCTAATTCACAAATTTTTGATACTATTTTATAAATCATTGATAAATATATTTAATTCTTTGTCTTGATTTCTTAACTCGACCTTTAAAATTAAATTATTAATTAATAGTTTAAATCCTGTGACCTTAAATTTTTAAGTCTTTTAATTAGTTCATAGTATTTAACTTTAACATTTCTTTTATTCTTCATCTATTATCCTCTTCAATTCGTAAACTAAAGTAATTGTTTACAAGTTGCTAGTTGTAAATTGCCTTTTGGAAAATAAAATTAGCCCAAAAGGTCGACTAGTAACAATTTGATACCTTTTAGCAGAAACAAATCGAAATTTTTATAATTATCCTATCCCTCATTTTGATAATCCTAATATAGTATTTTATAATTTATCTTATTTTAGTTAGTTACCTTTCAATGCAAAGACCTTAATTAGTTAGTTATAATTTTAGATAATCATAATCTTACACTTTTTAGTATTAGTAATTTACTTCTATGATTAACACTGAGCAAATTCAGGAACTTAATAAAATCATTGAGGAAATCGTAGAACTTTATTGACAAAAGATAAAATATATAGTCGATCAAACATTCGAATCAGAAGAACCTGTGTGGAAATTAGAAGACCTTTTAGAACTACGCAAAATCAAAAACCAATACAATTTACTGTTTCGAATTCGAGATAACTGCTATCAAATTTTAAGTGACCTAAACCAATTAAAAGAAAATTTTTTCCTCTTAAATTAATATTCTATAAGTACTTTAAATAAATAAATAATTTGCAATTTTAGTAAAAAGATACCGTCCACTGAATCTCTTATTACTCACGTTACAAAATGATTGGAGCAGTTAGCTTATAGTACACCAGAAGATTTTTCGCAAACTATCTTTATCCCATAACTACTTTCCATCATGACATCACCGCAAGACTCTATTACACAGTTCCCAAAGGCTGATGAGCCTGATAATATTTCATCCTCAGCTACTGCAAAAATTAAATCACCTACAATTCCAAAGCACACTTAACTGGGAACAAAACCCAAACCTTTTTCTACTGTTGTAGAATTGTTAGAAGAAATAGATATTCAAGACACTGCTATAGAAACTGAATCAAGTACTCCAAAAGAAAAACCAGAAGTATCATTAGTTGAAACAAATTTATTAGCTCCTCCCAAATTATACTATCTTTCTAGTCAACCTAATCCAGTAATACCTAAAGGATCTAGTTCTAGTACTTGGTCTGAAAAAACATCCCACTTGTAACAAAGGATAAAACAAGGGAAATACTTCGGTCAACTCAAATCAACTACTACATCTAGTTATTAGACAATTCTTTTACCAGAGAATCACAACGGTTAAGAACTCGAAAATAATCAACAATCAAATTTAACCCCTCTAAACAAAAGCGTAAACAAAAAGAGAAAGTCGACCTATTTGATAACAACGATACTTATTATAATACTTTTGACCTTGACAACGACAACAATTCTTCCACTTATTATCACGACAATTACAACTACAACCAAGACGACAATAACAACATAACTACCAATCAATATATATTAACTTATTTACAACAAAACTTAGGAGGTACTACAGTTTGAGTAGAACCTTTCTATGGTGATAGATTACAAGACCCCTTAAAGTGAATGGAGGATTTTAAAAAAGCTGCTCGAATAAATGATTGGGATAATACTCAAAAAGTCACTATGCTAAAAACTCATTTACGAGATGACACAGAGGAATGGTGTGAAATGGCAACTGCTACCACTTGGGCCGAATGGCTTCAAGCCTTTAAAGAATTCTTTTGTACCTTCCAATGGATTAACAAGTGGCATCAAGAATTAGAGGAATTATGACAAAACAGTAACGAAGCCATTGACAATTACTATGCTGCTTATAGACAACTTATCAGAAAAATTAATAAAATAGTCGAAATGCCAGCTGCTAATCAAATACGTTACTTTGTGAAAGGCTTATAACCTGAGCTTGCACCAATAATTATAATGAACAATCCTGTTGATGTCACAACTGTGGTGGACCTTATTCGAAAGTATAAAGCAGGTGAAGATATAGTGAAACGAAAAGAACCTCGAAGATTTCAAAAAGAACCTGAGTCAGAAT